TTACATTGTTAAAACAATGCCATAATAATAAGTCTCACCTAGATGTTTAAGTGATTTCTTATAATTTTATTATTATTACTTCCTTGATCGTTAATTCTATTTTCATTTTGAAATCTAGAGTTGCGATCCAAACCTTCTTTTGAAAAATGACATTATCACGTAGTTTATGTTTGGGAACTGGGATTTCTACTTCATTCAGGATAATAACCAAAACCCAAATATATGACCCGTTTTCGGTTAACAATATTAAACTCAAAAACCGTCAAATTTATGAAATCAATGCTATAAATTATTAAAACTTCGGTTTCATTTTCAAAATTCTCAAATTAAGAACTTAAAAGTGATTTAGCGACTAAGTAGGATTGTTAAATACATTGATATATTAGGTTTAAGCGTTATATTTATATACAATCAATGAAAAATAATTATAAAAGTGAAAGTTTTTCACATCAAAATAATTTCTCATCAGTTACATAGTGTTCCAACTTAGAAAATTGAAATTGATTGGCTTAATTTATTTTTTAATTTATTTTCACATGTTTATTGTACTATGTTTTAGTTAGCTGTCAATTACAGAATATTAATACGTACGTTGTTTCGACTAATTATTTGGTAATGATCGATCCTGCACCCAGATTAGTCAAGTGACTGACGCGTGATGACAGCCAATCAGTGAAATAAAACAATCGATTATAGAAAGTAATCAAACTTGTCTTTAGGGTAGGTTTAAGATTAGTGCAAAGCCGAATTTTGTGAGTAATGTTTTTTTGTTATATTGCAAGATCAGGTATAACGTAAAAATCATGAATTGGGAATCGGATCCATATCATTTTACCAACAATCATTTCATAGACAAGTTCATTTCATAGTTTATTTTATAGACAGCTCATTCATATTCTTTTATAATTTGCATTATAGCTGTTCTCAATTTCTAGGACAAGTAAAAATTTGTTCATTACCCGAAATCTTTTCGCTTTCGTCCTGTAATTACATTGTATCTCCGGACTGTAGGTTCGAAGATAACGATATAATTTCCGGAGAGTTAGGGTAATTTGAGGAAAAAGGTTCCTGGTAACAAGCAAATCTTTAATTATATTTTTGTATTTACATGTTTGTCAATTATTATAGCTGTTTTCATAAATTCAGAGACACCTAGAAATTTGCATTTTTCCCGATTTTTCGGAAACCGACGATATCGAAAGGATTTCGGAAAAAGTGCAAATTTTTAGGTGTTCTGGAATTTATGAAAACAATAAAATTTTTATTGGTGTAACTGGGCCGTCAACTAGGCTGATCTTTTTGCTAGAAAATTTTTCTGGTCAAAAATCTGTCTTCACACCTATATCAAATGGGTGAAAAATTATCAGATAGTTCCTTTCCAAATTCTAATGATATTAAATTATTTAATTTCTATTCTTGAGAAATTCCAGTCAGTATTTTATGCTAATTAAATGTTCAAGAATCCAATATTTCCATCCCTTACATTATATTCGTTATTTACCAATTTATCATCTATTAATTATTTCATTGTTATAAATGACTAGCCAATTTTCTGGCCTAAAATATGGGTTACTGCGTAACGTTATGAGTATTCGGATTTCTTAAATTGAAATATCGATGTTCAATCAATTTTAATAATTAAGATGATAATAGAATTTGAACGAGAATTGTAGTAAGTTGTTATATAATATTATATAATAAAACTTGCATTAAGGGTAGAGTATCTACTCAAGAATATGGTCCAATAAATTATCAGAATACTCATAACGTTACGCAGTGACTCATGCTTTAGAAGAGAATTGATTCTAACACTTCATTTATCGACCAATCCGGCCAACAAAAGTGCAGGCTGAAGGTCGACCTGCCACTTTATATTTGAAATAATGATAACATATTCTATCCTACATTAAATTATTAATGTTAATCTACTAAAATAACTAAAAAAAATATAAAATGATATAAAATTCAATTTTATTTCCGTCAACTAATTTCATAAGTAACGTCTCTTTTTCTTTTTTTAATGAAAATCATTTTTATTTTAATCATATAAAAATTTTTTCATTAATCAGTAGGATTAACAGACTCGCCACCCATTTCAACACGTAGACCATCATATGGATATTGTTTCTTTATCTAAATTTTTAAATAAAAAAAAAAAATAAGAATCGCATCATAAAAATTGTACAAAAAAACTACGAATTAACAAAAAAAAAAAACCAACCGCAGGTGGTTCGTAATCGGTTTGTTTAATCGCAAACATGTAAACCCCAAGAAGAGCAAAAAATGTTAAGAGCTGCATTGCAGCATCGCCCAAATTAATATCATATCTATCAAACGACCATACATTTAAGATTTCTTCTTCCTCGTGAATCTATATTAATCAAGATATTTTGGGATGAAATGATTTATTTAGAAAAGTAGAAATTATTACTAAATAGATTACCCATAGAAAAATAGTATAAAGACTTTAGAATAAATTTATATAGTTGTTAATAAACATTCTAATCGCATCCCAAAAATTCGCACTTCGTTTCAAATAAAAAACACCAAATTTTCATTCGATTAAGTAAACTAACCGGTTCACCAAAATTTCTCCTATTTTGTAGATCATCCCACCCGAGAGGTGGTCTGTCTAGTTTAAATTCAACAGGCAAATTTGGGTAATCACCAATTTGAGGATCTGGATTAATCTTTGGCGGTGGTTTTGCATGTTGGTATCGAACTAATCGCTCCCTAGAAGTTATTGGAAAACCCTGGGATAAGACGGGTAAGTTTCGAAAAAGGATTGTTCTGGTAGCTGTACGAGTGAGTTGCGTTAAACGCGGAAGCATGTCGTTTGTTTAAGTGAAATTTCGAGAAATAATTTAAAAGCAAAAAAAAATCCCGATTGGCAGATAAATTTACGTTCACGTGATCTCGGAGATAAACAGCCAATTAAAAATCCGGATCTAGTGCAACATAAAAAACCGTCCACAAAAAAAAAAAATTTTTACTACGTATCTCTATCAGGCGGTCAATTTACTAAGAGACTATGCTTTTAGAATTTCTGGCCGTTCCCTAAAGTACGAACGAACTCTAACATAAATGAGCCTTTTTGTTCGAAGACTATTGACCTTGGATCTAGGATTATCAGGTCATAGACAAACTCAAGATATCCTAGTATTAACGATAAATAAACATTTGAAGAGTATTAATAATTAGGATGATGAGAATTCTTTTCCATTAAGAAGTGAATCAAGCTCTAACTTAGCATTTGTATACATGCAGGAGTCGTTAAAAAGGTTATCGTTGTCGCAGGGAAAACCACACTTCAATGGTAAAGTCAGTTTAGGTTTGGGGGGTTTTTTTTTTTTTTAGTAACCTTTTTAAGAGAATTTCTATTTGTACAATTATAATATTATTATTTCTCAAATAAAATTTTGGAGGCTTGCAAATTTTAATATAAACTATGCCTTTCTTTAAGTTCTAAACCTAGCCTTACTCTATTATTAAACAGGGCTAAAATTTGTTAATTAAAATTATATATATATATACTGTGCTGTATAAAATATGCAAACTATTAATTAACCTTCATTGTTATAATATGTTTACACACATAATTTCAATATTTGCAATAACTGATAATATAAAGACTAATATCATATTTTAAATATAAGATAAACTTTTATATGTAAAAGGGTGTTAGTAGAAACCAAAAATTTTTTAAATTTTAAATTAAAATATCTCAACAACTATTAAGCCAAACTGATAAATTTTTTTTTATTTTAATTCTATATAGTTATAAAATTAAAACAAAAAAAATTTTTATCAAATTTGGTTTAATAACTGTTAAGATATTTTAATTTAAAAATTTACTTAGAAACAATTTGCTAGGTTTTTACTAACACCTCCTATGTAGTTAAATACATTTCTTTAAAATTTATAATGTTTGTATTTATAGAAAGTAATATATAGTGCTTTTATAAATTAAGACCTAACTAAACCATGTATTTAGAGTTTACATAGTATTTGCACTTAGAAAATACATTAGGAAGTTTCGAGAAATGCTAACTAACAGGTGTGACGCATTGCTTGACAAACTCTACATAGTCCATTGCTACATAGTATAACACTTTTTATTAATAGAATTGATGTTAAACAATAGAGAATTGATAAATATCTATTTATCATATTTCTATTGTTTTAACACCAATGTTATTAATAAAAAGTGTTATTCTACGTATGTAGGGGTTTGTTAGTTAACATTCCTGATGTATGACTATATATGAGCTAATTTTTTTGGAATTAATAATCTTCAACAATATGATTAGAAGTTTTGGGCTTGTTAAAATCGTCTGATTAAGATAGTCATTCCGGTGGTAAAATCGTCAAAACGGACCGGTAGATCAAAAGTAATTCACTATGTATTAAAAATTATACTATTTTTAAATGTTAATAGTAATTTCAAATATGCACATATATCGATATGCATTATTGTTATATATATTATGTATACATATGTATCAACGTTGTACTACACTTTAGCATTAATAAAATCCGAAAAATAACATCTAATAATTAGCATACCTGTGACAAAATTATGGTACCATCCATATTGGGAAAATTGGTTTTGCCATAAAGTACGCACAGTATATATGCATAACTATTGTTCGTTCCAATTTTATTTTTTCATATGCTAAGACGGTTTTTATCGATTTTAAGATTTATATTTTTGACTGGATCAAACCTCTAAATATTGTAAAGTTGACAATGTATACAAGACAAAAAATGCATACAAAACATTTGTAACCACGCATATTTTTCATGGAAAGATAATGATATTTAAATTTCAAATCTCAACGGTGCGTGGTCAAACTAACAGATGTAGCCAGCACTTTATCGATAATTTAATAATAGTGGTAATAACGAAAATTTGTAACGTAAAATAAATAATAGCGATAAGAATGATAATTGCAGAAAAAAAATCTATAATATTTCATTTGATTTAATTTATTCATGATTTATCCGAACGTGATTTGAGATCCACCACCAGGTTGTTTCAAAACACTAAAATAGACAAATAATAAAATTATTATTAAATTATAAATATATAAAAGAATTTAAAATAATACTTACCGGCTTGAAGTCTTGAAATTACGAGATCCAGTTGAACCATCATCAATAATTCCAGCAGTGGATTCAGGATGATTATAACCACGTCTCTTGGAAATGAAATTGTTTGACCCTACACCTTCAACTTCTCCACCATCATCACCAATAAAAATTTGTGATGCGTTTGATTGAGGATTAAGCTTTTTTTGAGAATGTGGTTGTGTATGTTCACGATTCGGTTGTGTTTGATCATCGCCAATAGAGAATTGTGACTGATTCTTATTCGAATTGAACCGACGATTTGTCACATCTATTTAAGTAAAATTTGTATTAAAGATTTACGATAATTTTTAATATTTTTAAATTTCAGAATAAAAAGAAAAAATATTACGGTCATCCGGTTCAGAGTTGAAAATCGAGGATTTACCACCGGTACCACCAGGTTGGTTGACACGACTACTAGTATGAACATTACGACGGCCAGAAGAAGTTTCTAATAAATTGTTTAAATAAACGTTATATATGCATATAAATTCTAATATAATAATATAAATAATAATGTATACGATTAGGATTCATACGGGCAGCAATCGGCTCGACTCTACCAAATGGATTGAGTATTGCATTTGAAGTATCTTTCACACCATCCAATTGCCTTTCACCTAAAACAGGCCAGGTGTTCTTGTCACCGATCCTAAATAAAAATGAAATATATAAATAATTACGTTTGTATATGCGTGATATAGCTTAATAAATATAATTACAATTTAAGCTGTTTTAAAACAGTGGCTTGATCCCAATAGACACGCTTTTAAATATTAAAATGAATAAGGACAGATGTTTAAAAGTCCAAAAGCAAAGGTAACAAAACGCTAATAATAGGATGATCACTTACTATAGAGGAGATTTTACCACCTTCGAATGTTGCCACGGTTACCTAAAAAAGAATATATTTTGTTAATTAATTAAGTTTAATTATATATATATAAAGTTTAAACTTGATTTGTGGAGATTTTCGTGCGTGGGGTCACAGAGTATGAGTAATTAATACTCTAATACATTAAACATTAAACATTTACCGTTGGAAAAATGACATGGTTATCGACGGTATATCTACTATCAATTCCTGGCACAAGCCAAGCACCTTCGCCGGAAACAAAATTAACGGTTGTTTCAGACTCTTCAACGATAGTGGTTTGACCAACAGTTTGATATAGAACGTTTTCCTTCACACTGAGTAGTCGAGTATCGTAAGCGGCTGAGAGAAAATTTCTTGTAGCTTCATTTCCTCTGGCTCCAGCAGCCGTGGGTACAAAAACTACAGAAGCGTTATCAGTGAAAAAATCACCATCACGTTGCTGTTTGTACTCATTCCAAACTTGTTCAATACTCATAATGAAAAGTTTTTTTTTATCTTTTTTTAGATCTGAATAAATTTAAATATGCTTATTAGGTATTCATATTAACATAAGTTTCTTTTTTTTTTCTAGTATAAAAATTCGTTCGAAATTGTAGAATATAGAATTTTATAATTTAAAAATAAACGCGACACATACAATGAATTCGATATAAGTTTATACGCGTCTTCAAGAAAGAATGAAGACAGTGAACGTAAAAATTTTTAAAAAGCCCAGAATGTTTTGTAGACAATAAGATATATGAATAATGAAACTGTTACACGAAATGTACTTGCACAAAGAATATCTTTTGTGACTAATTAGGAATTTAGCATAATATGCACAAATTTATCTAATTACGCGATTCATCTCGTGACTGGTAATTGATAAATTTTTATTGCATGAATTTATAAATTTTGTACGAACTGGTTTCTTAACAATTGTTTTAGCATAACCCAACCAATATCGGGGGTCGTCTAAAGCAGGGATAGTGAAAAATATCGATTTATGTTGATTATATAGGCTTGGTGCAGGAAAAAAAAGATCAATTTTTATGCTATAAATTTTATAACAAATCATAAGAAAATGCAAACTTTGAGATACAAAAGCTGTTGTATTAATAAAATTTTTGCAGTATAACTCTTAAGTAAAAAATAATCCTAAACTTATTTTAAATTGTCATTTTCGTCCCACTTAGCCCATATGTAAATCGAGCCGGCATGTACCCACGTGTAAATCAACCAACCGGAATTACGAAATTTTGTTTACACGGATCAGCCCGAAGAAGTCAAAAAAAACAAAGAAACCGCAAAAAATATGAAAAACGGTCGTCTAAACCTATCTTGATGCACTAATTAAAAATGTCGAGACGGTAATTTTACCCATATTTTTCTTATATGAACACCAAATCCTAACCTTGATTTTTTAATTAAACGATTACAATGTCAAAATCATGTGGGTACATGCTTTAGCCATCCCCCATATTTGGTATATTTTTTTACTACGTAAAGATTATTTAAATTTTTAAAAATTGCTAAAAAGAAATTATAAATAAAGGTGATACATAATGGTTCAGATTTAATACAATTAATTTTAAGCGCACCTTGAAATGTATACGTTTATGGATATATGCTAAGTAAATTACCATTGCATATGTCCGGGCTAATTTTACTATATACGTACTTACTGTACGTATAAAAAACTCCCCAAATACGTATATGATAATACTTCTACATATAAGTGTACATGCTTTTTCTATGTATACACTGAATGTTTAGATTAGAGAAGCATAATAAGAACATATATGCACGCCAGTGTCAGTTTCAAGCTTGAAACCTAGAGATAAATGCAGAAATAAAATTTATCATTATTATCTATCTGTTTAGCATTAGCCCAAAGCCAGATTAATATAAACAGATAAAAAAATTTTGGATATATAGAACTAAATTTAGTATTGGGCTGACCAGACCAATTTGGCCAATGACCAGTCTGGTCAAGCATTTTTGACATTGGTCAAGTTAACCAAATTAAGAAAAATAGATTATACAGTATATATATATATATAAATTAATAGAATAGCAAAAAAAAAATAAATAAATAAAAAAGTTTAATATAAAAACCTTAAGAGGTATTAGAATTTACTTTTAAGATTAATTTAAAAAAATATATATGTAAAAGAATAAAATATTAAGAAGATAGAGAATAATGTATAATCCAATAGACTTAATCCATTTCAACTAGTACTCAAAACTAAAAAATAAAGTAACAAGAAAGAAATATATAGATCAATATGCTAGATTCAAACCAATTTAATACTAGTCCTAACAGAAATAACCTATCTACTAATAAAACAAGCAAACTTCAAGCAAGAAAATTATTTAAAGATATAGTCAATACATGTCTTAAAATAAGTAATATACTAAGAAAATTAAACCTGAAAATGCTTTATCTAATTTTCAAAAAAGACTGAAACTATAACCTTAATAATATTTGACTACTAAACACTTTTAGAAAGATAGTTGTTAAGTTCTAAACAATAGAATTGAAAAAAAAACTTCAGAGATCTATAAAAGAAAAAAAAGAATTTATCGGAATTGATTCATTAGAATGTTAATTTTATACATAAAATCTACATAATAATTCCGAGAAAACCCAATTATTTTGCTCTATATATCACTAGTCTGTTAAGTCCGTCATTAAAATGACGGAATTATACAACAATTTATTTGATCCGTTATTCAATAGTGAGTTTATTGAATTTAGTTTACAATATCATTAACGCTAAATTTGTTGGCAAATACCAACCATAAAACTGACTCCCCTTAACCTAAATCAGACCAGATTTGTCGACGATATAAAATTCAAAAAGTTATATAATAAACATTTTTAAATAAAGAAAAATTTTAGTCTAAACTTTTTATAAAGATATTTTGGTTGTTCTGTTTTATTTAAAAAATTTTAAATACAATTTAGAATTCTGAGAAAATGTCCCTGATAATTTAAAGGATTATTGTTATAACAATCAAGCAGTAGTTATTGTTTTATCATTACAATTCTATATATCAGCGAAAGATTTCGGTCCAATTACTGTATCCAAAATCTCTTCAGTAAATTTAAAAAAAATCTCATCATTTTTTTTGGTAGTGTCTAGCAAATCTTCAACATTGCCACTTCTTGAAGTAAAATTTATATGATAAATAATCTCTCGTAATTTATCGTCACGCAAGAATTCTTTGATTTTTTCCGATTTTGCTATTAATATCATTAATGATGAACGAATTAAAGATAAAGATCATACTATTGAAAGTCAGCAAATTCTCCTACCAAGCTTTTCTAATTGCTCGGGACGTAAAGCCATATCATCCTCTTCTTCATCTAGAAGCACTGATGTATTCATATCGTCATTCACAATATCATCCGCGTCGCTCTCCACGTAGTCGTCCAGGTCACCCAAGTCCTCGCTCACATTGTCACCCATGTCGTTGTCCGCTTCATCTTTCACGTCGCCACCTAAATCGTCGTCATAAATTTTGTCTACCAAACTCTTTTGTTCACCTACATAAGAATGAGCCATGTACTCAAAGAGCGTTAAATTATATCGATATGATAAAATCAGTATCCAGCTATTAATACGTAGCGATAGCCTTGTGTCACCATCCAAATTTCACGTAGGGGAACCGTCGATGTTACACAGCTGATCCTTCACCTGGTGTGCAACATATAAAAAAATTATTTTACAATAACACATCATTCCGCTAGTACATAATAAAATGGTGTGGGATTATTATCATAACATGAGAACTCCCACAGCAGTGGGCAAAAAATTTTTGATTTTGTAATTTTATAAAATTTGTATTTTTGATACGTACTTTAAATTCAGAGAAATTGAGTTTAAAAAAATTTTTTTTTTTGCCCACTGCCTTCTGTATGTTGCACACCGGGTGAAGGATCAGTCGTGTAACATCCTGTTCGTAGGCGATCGTCTAAAGTCTCATAGACAGAAGTTCGTCTGATTGGCTAATAAATTCAATTTAATTTTACGAAAACCAACCATAACAAAGTAAAAAAAAAAAAATCATATAGAAGGTTTCATTAGAGCTGTAGGACTCCATAGTCAAAATAAGATCTAATTCTCAACAATTAGCTTAGTAATAAGTTGATTTTATCAGGTTTTGAGAAGTTATTATTATACTAACTTTTTTAAACGGACAAGAATTAGATATTATTTTTGTCTACCGAGTTAAAAAGTACTCTAAACTGTATAAATAATGTAAAATTAAATTGGATTTATTAACCAATCAGACTGCTAAGAGCTATATAAATAGAAATTTGATTTGATTGGATATACTCATTTAACCTTTTAAAAAATTGCTTCATAATTCCAGGCAGAAGGATGTTAGTCATGGGCCGGAATTATTTTAATGCCGGCCAAATTAAACGAAAAAATTTTAGACGGATTTATGGCTAAAGTAGAGGGAAGGTTAGGGTTACCTTTTTGATTCATTTAGGGTAGCAGGTTATATAGGTATCAAGAATGTAATTTATGCAGTATGTAGATCATCTATTGTAGTAAGCTTGACAAATATGCTTTTTATTTGACTTTACTACGAATCTTTAGTTAGTTAAATTTTGTTAGTAATATCAAACTTTCTTTTATTAACTTAACCAATTATATTAGTGTTTGTAGATCGTAGCAGGCAAATTTGCCTGCTAAATTTCTGATATTTTAGGTCTCATCTAAAATTTAAAAAGTGTAACAATATGCAAATATAAATAGTTTATGTTTTAAATTTTATATTGGCACTGAATTTTAAAAAAAATTCTTTATTAAACTTACTATTTTTTTTTTTTTTTTTTTTTTTATTTTATTAAAGCCAATGTTATCAATAGCTACCACCTTTATTTGTGTTTTTGGTCAATGCATTACATATGACTTGTACAAGGTAAGTGTGCAACTAGCCACA